CAAACATGATTCAATACCATCTTATTTGAATTAACTCTTCCCATGTGTATCTTTCTTTATCATCAACCATATTGGCGGTTTCGAAAGTGCCTTATGTAAAGGAGTTTGCTGTAAATGATCTTTCGAATAGTGTTATATGTAGTAGGTATTGATACAGGTACCACTGTATACAGAGTACATGCAAATAATAATTTTCTCCAATGGTTTGGCCAAACATTTGTTGCATTTTTTGTTCATTTCAAATTTTATTGGATTGTTTTTGCTGATTGGAATTTTTATGGAATAAACAGTTTAATGTGTTGGGTTTTACCCTTTGACAATATGTATATGGCCTTGTGTAATTATGGCCTTGTGTAATTATGATATTGTCACGTACTCGATCACTCTATATTCTCAGTCAATACTTCGGGCTTTGTATGAAAAACCTTATACCTTGTACCCACGTGCCGGCGTACTTGGGGCATGATACATTCTTTGAAGAGTTCAATTCTAACGTTTCAGATTATTCTGATCATATGAATTGTAGGTGCATTAATGCACGTGTAGACCTACGTGTATGTCTTATAGATCCAACACTTTTCTAGTCATAAATAAGGCCAGAATTGCAAAATTGTTTACCTTTGCTATTTCGATAAAAATTGCCTAATTGAATTGCTCGTTCACTATAGAACCAATCTACACTAAAACGTGAATTTACGATTCCTGAGACTACAATTATCTTTAATCATGCTGTGATTAAATAAAATGATACCCTGACATATTTAAAACTTATTTAGAATGGATTTTTCTCTATTGAAAAGTCCTTTGAATGGCGCTATTTTGACAATCAATGAAAAACAAAAAATTAACAATTCTGGCTTTATTTTATGACTCTGTATCTATCTATCTTTCACTAGACGAAGTTCACATCTATGGATACTATGAATGTATTTATACCTCAGATAGCATTAAAATTGAATAATCTTTTAAAACTTTAAAAATTGAACCCTTCAAAAACTGCATCACCACCCATGTACATGGGTATGAGGTACGAAGCCAATACTTCGTAAAGAAATCATGAAATAACAACATGTAGAACAAGGCATTTTGAACTTGAGAGGTCAAATGTCAATTCAAAAGTCAGATTTGACTTTTGAGAACTTGTAGGTGATTTTGAAAATTCAGTCAATTCGAAGCAAGTTGACAAATACCTTTTAGACCCTCTTCACTTTGAGAAGGTCATTGAAGGTCAATTGTAAAATTTAAAGTCAGATTTGAATTTTTGAAAAATTGGTCAATTTAAGACCGTTTTCACCTTAAAGAATATGAATGTACAGTAGTAAGAAAGAGGAGTGCATTCTTGTTGTATTGTTTTTGAAGAATGGACACTGCAGCTATCTAAAACCAGTGTGGCACAAAATATGATTGACAGTCTTTGGCTCAATATTTACACCTTGACTGTCACATGCAGTGCACCGAAGCTGTTCTTATTAAATCATTTTCAATCACCCAATAGTTGAATTGTAAACACAAAATAAATACAATTTTCAATGTGCCTTGCCTGATACATGCAGTGCATTGAAGCTGAACCAATCAAACCAACCCACTTCTCTACACATTTACCACATAGTTAATACAAAAGAATTTTTCTAAACTTGGATCATGGGTCAATTACCCTTCATAAGAATCAGTGTGGAGTTTAAGTTAGATAAACTATTCGAAATGGGTCATATGAGAACTAATAGCCTCACGCCAAGCCCCTCTGCTATTATTTCTCATAAAACCCAGTACTCATAGTTTATCCGTAACTGAATGAACGATTAGAGGATTCAGTGACCTTCTATAAAATTACAAACTGAACATGTTGTTATACCTTAGATGACTACCTGGTTGTTATTCACTAAAGGGGTCTCATTATAGGTTGGCACATAAAAATGCCTTTGGGTTCAATGACTGCCACTTGGTTCGGGGTTGTTGCTTTTAGGGGCTGTAATTAGAAATAGAGGTTTTGGTTTTAATAAGGGATCCCAAACTTATCTTTAGGCCATAGGTCTATGTAAAAGTAGTAAAGAGTAAACTTATGCCTTCTATTTTTCCCTAGGCCTATGCTGTAGGTCAATCGACGGAATTATGATTACGCTTAGGGGTGCTGTGATTCCAGAAATCAATAAATGCTGCATCTAATATAACACCATTCTTGAGTCGATTTGACCTAGGATGAAGAAACTACATAGGTGACCACGGGCTTTGAAACCCCATTACAAGTAGTAATAGCGAATTCAACTAACAACTGTCAGATCAACCTACTATTTTATGGCTCATTAAATATAAATAGTACCTGCCACTATTTCATTCATATTAAAATGAATTTGCCATCAAAAGTAGGTTAAATCATCGCCTTTTACCCAACATATGACATCATAAATACTATCAAAGTGCAATCTAATACCGAGTGAGACAAAAATGTAGCCCAAACTAATTCCGCATTTTACTAAGTTTAATTGGTCCTGCCCCAATAGTCGGGATTTTATGGCTATAAAACGAAACATGGTCCAAAATGCCAGCCTCATCTCATGACTACGGGCTATCTCTGAGATAATGTCAACCCCTACAACAAGTAGCAGAACAATTTCTGTGACCATGAACTTACAACCTCAACCGACCAGTGCAGGTCTGCCTGAAGGGACGAGGCTGAAATTTGTAGAATGGCCATAGAATTGTGACCTTGAGGAATGGACCCATGAAACATGGTAAAATGCAAAAAGATTTTACATGGTAAAATTAACTAAATATGATTTCAACTCATACTGGATGAATGAGTTAATAACATTTCTTTGGATGACATTTTTGCCTCACCCTGTAATTCATTTTATTTTCACACTTATTCATTTCAGCCTGCCCTAATATAACAAAGAATCTAGGTTGAATAGCCAAAACCAGGCACATGTAATTACAAAGAACTATTCATTCTATTCTGTACGTTACGTTACGTACACGGCATGTTACACAACTCAACACAGCTTTAATTTAGATCAAGCTTTGGCTTGTGGTCGCTACACTTTTGCTTGTGGTCGCTACCCTTTATTTGTAAATACTATAGTATATGTGTACATGTGACAAGATGTTTACAATACTTTTAATAGATATCGTTTTTTAAGACTGTTTGCATGGCCTGCTCATTTGTAAATCCTAGTATACGTGTACATATGGCAGACACTGTGCCGGGTATATTGTACAATTAGTAGGTTGTATGCAACGTTTAATTGTTGCCTGATTGATATCAAGGTGGTTGATCACCATTAAAACCAAAGATGCTATTCGACTGAAGTCGATGCCCTATGGAAAGGTATAACCCCACCTCTCAACCCATCAGACCCAATCATAGGTAAAATCTGTTTGAATGCAGAAATAGCTTTTTAAAAAATTTTGCTTAAAATTTTTTGGAGTTGACTGTTCGGTGACCAAGCCCAGAATGACTTCTCTATTTATAAAACTCACTCACTAAACAAGGCCTAACACACAAAAATCTTTGCTCAACTCGAACAGCATGCATGCTACATCACCAAATCATGGTCCATGCCTTTTCTTCACTTCACTGCACATATATAGAAAGTATTTATATTCTTAATTCGCTTTGCTCAAACGAATATAAATTGTCAGTATATAAATAGCTATACGTGAATGACACAACTGTTTTATACACAAACAATACAAGGTTAAATACAGGATTATAATCCATAACGCTGAGTAAGTCACTATCTGAGTGTTGTAACAAACAAATTATTTATGGCACTTAGCTGCCCTCTATTTTGTAATTGTATAATATTAGTATGAAGCACTTTAAAATATCAGAAAAAAATACGAAAAAATCACGAAAAAAATATCAAAAAGTAGGTTTACAATTAACTTTTCCCCTTTACAGTTTAAATCATGTCTTAAAGTTCAATACAACTTTGCACTAAAAATTATTAAAAAGGCCTGCACTTTTGGTGAAAATTGCGTCTGAATTAGGGAAAATTGGTGAGGATTGGTGGATTAGGGACAGCTTAAGAGATAATTCAATCAACTTGATTATCATCCTTATGTCATTTATTGAAGATAAGACATGGATCTAACAGAACCATTTGATTTTGTGGTTAACTTATTCTTCTAACTAAAGATATAGCCCTTTGAAAATGGCTTGCCATACCTTTCGTGCTCTTTTTATATGATTATGCCTAGGGACACAGTAGCTCTGTTCAAGAAATAATTTTCAAGATGGCAGCTGAATTTAAAGATAGTGGCCAATTTTCGTAAAAAACTTAATCTTTGATAACTCATATACCAGTGAACGGATTTGGTTCAAATTTTATATGATGATGCCTAGTTCACAATGGTATAAACTAACTTTGTGCCTTTCATGCTTCTATCACAAAGTGCACAAACATTTCAACATTTACACTAGCTATAATAAGCATAATATGTTTTGTTCGGTGGGATTTGCTACTCCGTGGAGTTGCTGTTTTTCTAGTTTATTAAAAGTAGTTTAAGCTTCCTCATCTTCAAATTCAATTGAGTAGTTTTACAAAATTCATACTGAAAAATATTTTCCATCAACAATGTAAGTAACTTCACATCAATTGGGGGGGGGGGGGGGGGGGCGGTAGTGGTTACTTTTTTGTACGGGGTGTAGAACAGAGATTTAGAATATCTAGGTTTTTTCTTTCAAAGTAGACCAGTTTTTGCCAGACCCAGTTCTAGAATGCATTTTTTCGTTACAAATAGCATGTGAAAATTATCAGCCCACAGTTCTATGGATTTTTTATCAAAATGGGTTCCACATCTTTCTGTGAAAAATTGACACACTTATATGGGAGTACTCCCCCGTCCTTGGAAATGCAACAAAACATTTGGATATTATTACTCAAAGAAAGTGCTGTGAAATATACAGATTCTCATATTCTGTAGTTCTATTAATTGTGATATCATTTATCAAGTTTCACTTATTTATAAATTCATGATTTCAGGTGAATTGTACTCACCATTCCTCCATTGTGATTTGGCCAAGGTTGTGGTAAATCTAAGATCAACCTCTCAGTGTTAGGATCAATCATATCAGGGTTTTCACTGTCTATCAGGAACTCACTTATTCTAGTATTAGCAGCTACATTACCAAACATCCGTGGACGACGGCGACTGTAGTACACAAAAAATCTTCTATTGTTCACATGATCTGGATGAAACGCCATCCCTAAAAATCCCTGTTCGCCTCTCATATAAACATTATCTTCAATGTTCAAAAATGGTTTAAGTACAGGAGCTATACGCCCATTTTCATCAGTTTTCAGGATACTGACCACTCCATTTTGTTGGCCAACAAACATTCTTCCGGAGTTGTCATTTGCATGGATTAAAGCAATAGCCTGGTAAATACCAGATGTTTGGATGTTTTCCACGCAGAAACATCCTGGGCTGTCATTGTCTGCGTTGCTTGGAGAGACATCTGACCAGGGGTGGTTTGTGTATCCAGGATAACACATCTTATTATACTTGGCTGTTGTTGTGGTATGTCTTCGATCTTGAACATTGTCACAATATTCCTCAGCTGTCATTCTCGCTATTGTTGCATCATCTTCTTGCATGAATGTTTGTTGAGTTTTCATAAAAGGACATTCATTAATCATCTGAATACATTGATCCCTACAAAGTGCTGACTGTGGGTTGGCAACCATTTTTCCCCATGTGTCTGGTGATTTCAACAGCAACAGTTCATAAGCATGTGGGGAACACTCCATGCATGCCAACTTTTGTGCCCATTTAGGACATTCTGTATTGTTCCCCAGCCCATTAACAGGCACTGCTGCATGTGTAAAATCATACAAATACTGTTCTAGCTCAAATATCTTATCCACAGAGCAGCATCCATAGTTATCATTTGGGCAAAATGGCCTCCCTGAATATGGCATCAATTGACTGAATGGTGGTTTGCCATCAAGACAGGTTCCACTGCATAAACATGAACTGCTAAGAAAAGCTAAGATCCAAACAAACCAGGATTCTCTCAGAGACATCATTGATGATATTTTCCTGTTGATCTTTTCTGTTAGGGTTGTCGTTGAGCCTCACTGAATATGGATGTAAATCAATAAAAATTTAATAAAGTACTGGGTGATACATAAGAAAAATCACTTACTTAAAGGACAACTGAAATAGCTTTTCTCAACTTGCAGCTACAAAAATGCGGTTTTCTCCATTGTAAGCCCAACGTAGAGTTCTTGCGATAGCCATTATAAAATAAATGTTAGATAACTGCTAACGGTCATAAATAACGAAACAAAACTAACTGATCAATCAAATTGGCCCCCACGTGATAAGTAACGTCATATACAAAATATAGCTTTGGTTTGTTGGTTCCTTAGTAATCACAACGTCACGGCAACCATAGGATTGTAGTGTAAACCAAAACAAAACATTTAGGCATTATGACGTTATGGGCCACGTGGGGACCAGTGAGAGATCACGTGGGGGCCAATAACGTCACAACCAATTCGAATATTGCTTATTAAGCAGCTATAACGATCGTTAGAGTGAAATAGTTTTCGCACTACTGATGAGAAAACATGTCCAAATACATTTATCAAAAAATTATATTGATTCCTGTAGGTTAAAAATACCATTTCATATCTGCTTTAAACATGTTGCAACTTATGATTTTTAATCGAAGGGATATAAACTCTTAATCCAGTCAGAAGATTCTGTACTCTTCTGCCTGGTTCTAAGATATCATTTTATATGCTAAGATTTAATATGCATGAATTATAGAGGAGGCAAATTGGTAAAGATAACTTCATGAAAAATACGGAGGTAGAATAATTTTACATTGACTTCAAAAGTATGAACCTCTTGATTTATGGCACCAATGTATTGTTCTTAAAGAAGGTATTTTTGACTCACCCAGTATGTCTAAGTTTGAAATATCAAATATTAAACCTAGTAAGCATGTATTCTTTAGTTCATGAGTGTACTTAGGTACTTCTTATGCTCTCAGACTTAATAGTGAAAGATAATGGGTGATGTGTATTTGTTTTTGGAGTTTATGAGAGGTTTAGTGACTTTAAGTACATGTAAATCAATATACACTTACTTCAACAATATATACTAAAGATGTCAACTGCTACTTTTGTTGAGTGACATCATACCTGCTGCAAATAATGTTCAGTGCTGTTCTCCATCCAAAGTAAATAATCTTGAAAAAAAACATAATTTGTTGGTGTTGTGGAATATGTAACAGTATTAGCAATGGAAAACCAGTAAAACTAATAAAAAACTATCACTTTCCCTCCGAGTTGATCACCTTGTAAAAGTACTTTATATGGAAACATTTACGGAATAAGAACTATGGATTTATTATTCTCGAATTTGTGTCATGTTTACCTTGTTAGTTATCAACCAATTATTTATCAATTTTTCATTATTAAAAGCCACTGAAGCAAAAATACACATTTGCCTTAATGTTCATTGTTAACAGATACAAAGCTACATGTTTTGATAGGATATTTTTTATTCACATATTCTATTTTGGAATTTGAATTTCGATTGCTCCACCTATGTATTGCTTCAAAAATCGAGGAAGAGAACTACAAGTGCATAGTAAAAAGTGTGCCTAAAATATTAACCAAGAATCTAGGAGCATTTGGCATTTTGAAATGATCTAGAAAACTTAGTTTTGAAAGCTACATCCTATGACCACTAGTTTTCTCATTTTAGATTATAGCTGAAGAAAAAGATGCCCCTATGTAACAGTTTCACTTCTTGAAAAGAGAACTTCATCTCCTCTCTGAGTTAATCTAGCCTTACCCTTGCCTTCATACCTGACATATGTTTTATTATTATGGCATGGAATGAAGTTTGGGGGATATAGAGAACAGCTCCACTGTCTGTCTGTCAAATACCTAGTAACATTCATTATACATGTACTTAATGGTTATGTTGAATGTTGAAATTAATATGTAACTTTTGTTGTCATCATAACATAGTGACAATAAAAAACAACAAACTCGTTCTTCAAACCCTGACACTAAGATTATAGAATGGATGATTAAGCTTAGATTATGACAAATCATATTCCGATTGTGGTGTTGATATTGGTATGTTTACCAAGTGTCAATGTTATTGAAATATTATATCTAATTGATATATTTACTCCATTAGCTGTGCTATTACTAGTCCTAGCAGTGTTCCCTTTTGACAGGTTTTACAATATACTTTTTCTGAATGTTGAATGTAATATTCAATAATGATATACATGTAATTAACTAATTATTAGTAACCTTGCAGAAGCCTACAGAAGTTCTGATGAGACATGTAAAGATCTAGCATGCAACCAGAACTGTGAGATGGTACATTGGGTACCCCAGTGCAGCTATGTGAGAGCCTCCTATTTCAGGAAGTAGACTTAATAATAAACAATAAATATCATATTTCATTGAATCTTTTTTGCACCTTGCAGACCCCTACAGAAACTCTGATGAGACATGTAAAGATCTAGCATGCAACCAGAACTGTGAGATGGTACATGGAGTACCCCAGTGCAGCTGTATGAGAGGATTCTATCTCAGGGAAAATGGACTCACTTGTGTGGGTAAGTCAGGCAAACATACATGAAGTGTACTCAAAATGAGTCAAAAAATGTTTATTTAAAATTGTAATTTATTTTTTATCCACTCATTGATATCAACATACTTCACACATTTGTTACTTTCATTGACATAGTCATTGAAATTAATTCATAGATAAAAAGATTCACTTAAAATCAGATGAGATAAGAATGATTTCACTCATACATTTAGTGAGATACTGGAAACCTAGTTTTACCAGGTAACTTTTTCAGGTTTAAATAAAAACACATACCACCACCACCCATATTTCAATGTTTTACTGAGACAAACATGGAATAACTTTATGAGTGATGAGCGAATATTATTACCACCTTACGGGGCCTGTTCTAGGGGTTTTAGTGCTAGTTTAGAAGGCATTTATTTTACTAACTCGACCTGAGCAGTATGTGACGTCATAGTGGCGGGCCATATTACTGGTCAATAATGCATTAACGACCGGTAATTTTCCCAGGAATTTAGATATCTTTCAGTGCATAGGATTTTCCTGCTATTTCAGCCCTGGGCATTAATGGCTCTTGGTCCAATGTTTAGAGGTTATGTCACTATCGTTGCATATATGCCCGAGGGTTTCAGTGATATATGGCCCGACCTTGGGAGGGACATTAATCACTGAGAACCGAGGACATATGTGCAACTATAGTGACATAAACGATTTATAACATACCTATGATGATCTAGTCTGGTCAGAGAGTACCGTTTTCTTATCAAATTGACTAGCAATGGTTCGGAAATGATGATTTATTCCCATGTTTTTGTATCTTACGAATGTACGAGTTAATTTGACCTAGGTCTAATATGTATGACGTAGTAACAGCGCTTGACCAATCAGAAAGTAAGCGGCTTTTCAAAAGTTATATTGGCCCGCTGTCTTGTGAACAGTTTACACTATACATCATCATAGGTATGCAGGGGCGTAGCCAGCTTTCAGTCAGGGGGGGTGCGATCGCCGGTCAGGGGGGGGGTGCGATTTTGCCATAAGCAACACAAAAAATTAAGATTTCTTTTGAATTTTACAAAAATTGATGCAACTTCCTTCAAAATTGAGCTAGAAGCTTCAAATAAAAAGCATTTTAAAGCTCTTTTCTACCTCTATCCAATGGTCATATTTTCAAAGGTTATGGGGGGGTGCGATCGCACCCATCGCACCCCCCCCCCTGGCTAGGCCCATGGTATGTTATAATTTACTATATTGCCCTTCAAAATGAATTTATTGTACTATTCTAATTCATTCATCTGACAAACAATTTAATTATCATGAAAATCTGAAAGTTTCATGAGGTAACTTGATTTAGTATTAGAGAAAACTTTGTTTGATTACAATCACTCATTTGTGCATGTTTGGAACTACATTCAATTCTGCATCTTAAATGTCAAAGTTCCCAGTATTGGAGAATTTCTATGAGTTTTGTACTGCTAATTTCATGTGAAAAGTTTGAGCTTTTTCTATGAAGGAAAAAAGAGAAATTAACTTGTCATTTTGGTATAATGTTTTGGGCAACCTGGACTTCGCTGATCCCAGGCATCTTTGTTCTTAAACATTCTCGAAATAGTACCATATTTAACCTAGTTAAATCCATTCACCATGGCTATGTAGTTGATGGAATCTTTCACTATTTTTTGGGTTTGTAAGATAATCTTTTATCTGTAATTCTGGGGGTCAACCCAGTTGTCCGAAACCCAGTTGTCCGAAACCCAGTTGTCCGAAACCCAGTTGTCCGAAACCCAGTTGTCCGAAACCCAGTTCTCCGAAACCCAGTTCTCCGAAACCCAGTTCTCCGAAAAATTAAAAAATTAAATGTCTTAGTAACGAATCTTGTCGCAACTTCGCAAATCAGGACAGCATAACATTGGTATCACGTTGACATCGGTTAGCCCGGTCAATAATGGGTCCGAAAGTTCACGATCATATATATATTCTTACTAGATTCTCGGCTCATATACCATGGACATTCTACAAATTTTGAACCGCATTGTCCAGCACGAATCGCACTCCTTCTTGGTGAAAATTCAAGACTGCCGCCAACATTTTAGACAATTATCACAGTCGAAGAGAATATCTATCTCATTAGAATAACGTATGGACGTCCGTGACAATTATATATATTCATTTGATAATTTTTTCATTCCCTTTTCTCAATAAGATATGGTTAATTATGTTTTCCAATATTCATTGATAATATTTCTACCCTGAAAAATATCTAAAAAGAAGATTTTGGTTGTTCAGTACCACCCATTGTTAAAGATTTCGTCCAAATTTTCGATAAATCAATAAAATATGCTCATTTCGTATAACTTATTTATGTGGCATATATACATATCAGATGTCTATCCTTTTTTCATCATAATATAAGAGGTTTGTATGTTTTAGAAACGTATTCCTTTCCAAACATTTAGATTTAAGAATTTCTCCCATTGGTGATATTGTTCAAAATCAAAACTGTGTTTTTGCGATATATTGAACTGTTGAAGTAAGTGTGTAATAGTTTGTAGTAGAGCCAAGATTTGATCTGTATCATATACGTACCCTGCATAAAAAAATTCGTTTTTAGTGTGCCATAGATGTCAACCATTAACTATTGCAGAATCATTGAAAAAGTTTTGTGAAAAATTAGGATAATGTTTCAAAATTATACACCGGACAATAAATAACTATACTCAATGCAGACAGGGAGTTTTAATTGCCCAAAAACTGAGTATCAAAATGAATTTGTATCTCTTTAGTATCTTGCATGACTCGTTCATATGAATTCTTTATTTCTACCTCGTTCCCAATACATTCTGAGACAGTTCAACCTATGCCCCACGTCGCCACGCGGTCCTAACTTCGACCGTTAATTTGAATTTTTGACCTACCGGATATTTGAAAATCAATTACGAGTCTCATACTGCACCGTTTTTCTTCAAACTTGTTCCATTCAAAGCATGACAAAAATCTCTTTCTGATGGTACGTTATTATCTTAAACAGAGTTCCTACTTCCAGCGTAATTTTGGTCCCCAGCTGTAAGAAGGCCTTCTAACAGCTGGGGAGTGGGGACCAAAATGCTGCTAGAACGAGAGACTCTTTACAATAAAATAATGCACTGACAGAAGTGCAATTTTGTTTTGCTTTTAATGGTAAAATGGAAGAAAAACGGTGCAGTATCAGACTCGCAATCCTTGATTTTCAAGCATCTGGTAGGTCAAAAATTCCAATTAACGGTCGAAGACCGCGTGATTGCAGAAAGTGATGACCACGTGGAAATTTTGGAACTACCCTTTCGAGTAGGCAAGTAGACCCCAAACGGTTCTAAGTACTTCCAATCCGTCCACACAGTTTAAGCCCGTTCTCGAGAGCGTAGTGAGAACTAGTTTGGTGTGATAATAGGGTCAGATACTGAAAGTGTAAGCATGGACGACCTCCCACCGTCCAATGAATACAGTGGGTTCAGAATCAGAAGGCGTTTCAGACGGCGTTCTGAAACAGCTCACTATAGCTTATTCCTTAAATTTTGGCCTGAATGCTTTGTACGTTGAGAGACGGGACACGACCAGTGTGACAGCGCCATTAGCATTAGGCGCACGATGGGCACATTTTAACTTAGTATGAGTAGGGGATAATTTATGAGGATCAATAGGACTTCCCACGGCAGCCGCACGGTGAATTTTAAATTTCTGTTGATAAATAATACTTTTTTCATTTTATTTACATCAGGGCAATTTATAAATGTTATTCATAGTGCTAGGATGTAATATCAAATGAAAAGTGATCGTGAAACATTGACAAATAATGATTCAATCTTGTTGAGCCAGTTGATTTCTACGGGACCTCAGAAATGAACAAATATTATAACTCCGAGTTATAATTTCTATACGGTGACCCTGCGGCGTGTGAAAAACTGGATACGCCGTACGGAGTCCCCAAGGCAAGCGTAGTTTTCCTACGCACAGGCACTGTAGCCCCTTTAAACATTATCCTCCGTCAATAGAAGATACACTCACCTCCATAAGTTGAATTTTTATTTACTTAACCGGCGATGAAATAACTTATAACCTAATATTGATGGAAACGTAACTTGACTTTATTTCCAATACCTTCAAATTTTATCAATTTTTTTCCTAAATTACAATAGGTCGAAAATTGATGATAAATTTGATGACTTTTTGAAAATCGTCATTCCCATGTCATCCAATGGGAAATGGTAGATTTACCGCACGTCATATGACAGAATATTCATCCATCCATGGACGTGAAGTCCTTGCAAAATATGAGTAAGGCAGGCAATTGAATTTGCTAACTTTATTTAACAAAGAATTGATATGTTTCTTCAGGTTCAACAAAGTTACAGGGCTTTAAAGTCAAAATTGGTTTTCAAGAAAACTCTCCCATTGAAATAACACAGGAGTCGAAAAATTATTTTCAAAAATGACTTTGAAGCGCTATAAATTTAGTATTCATCAAATAAATTAAAACTTAGTGAACAAAAAAGTCAGACAATTCAATTTTTTATACCAAAAAAATTTTGCTGAATCTTTTACTGAAAAGATTCTGATTTGCCCCGAACTCTCTATTTCCCCTTGGATTATACGGGAATGACGATTTTAAAAAATTCATCAAATTTATCCTCAATTTTCGATCTCTTGTTATGGAGGAAAAAAATCTAGAAAATTAGGAGGTATTGGAAATAAAGTAAAGTTACGTTTCCATCAATATTATACGCCATTTCATCGTAAATAAAAATTCAAACGTAAAGAGGCTTTAACACGTAGTTCAATGGGGGAGCTAAGGTTGCAAAACTTATGGAGGGGAGTGTATAAATACAACTACCGGCTTTTCACGCAAATGAGCCTACTGGGCGTTTATTTAGTAAAGTTGACGTCGTGTACATCTTTTGAAACCAAAAATTATTCTTCATTTAGGTACTCTGTTCGAGAAATAGAGATTAAATTCAAAAAGATGAAGTGAGTACATGGCGAAAATGAAAC